ACATCTGCTGAGGTATCTCTTCTAAACTCTATAGAGCAATGGGCTGCTTTCCTCTGTTCAAGGAGCACTTCAAATGGAAAAGGTCTAAGTCATCACTTTTCACCACAACCATACATATTAACACACACACACACACACACACACACACACACACACACACACACACACTTCATGGGGGAGGGAGAGAGGGACAGAGAGAGAGAGAGAGAGAGAGAGAGAGAGAGAGAGAGAGAGAGAGAAATACACAGTCACCTACTAACTAGTGCCACTCTCCAAGCAGAAGAATATGGCACCATCTTATTACTCACTTTCCTATGCAAATGGTTCAGTCTCCTAAAGGTATTCTGAATCTGCCCACTTCTTTCCACTTCCTCTTCATCTTTCCTTTAGAACCATCTGTATTCACTTTTGTTTCTTTGTGAGCTATTCTTCTTGCTTCAGCCATAGAGAGCTTCTGAAAGTACAAATGTGATAGTGTCCAGGACCTCAGCATATCTGTTAGACCAGACTCTATCAGGAATTATGATGTGTATCCTGTATACACTACTCCTTTTCACGGCACAGCCCCTGTGCCAGGCACCATTGGCTTGGACACAGGACAAGGCTTTGTTCAAATATGGTAACCCATCTAATTCACAGTGATTGGTTCAAGAGTGACATGTGACCAGAGCTGGATGAATTATAATCCTCTCCTGGATTTATTTATACCAGCCCCAAGATCATTCACCTTGAATTTCTGAAGTAATTCTGGTTTGAAGCTCTTCCAACACTGTCAATGGCCTGCATGTCCATGTGTTTTATTTGTCTAAAGTAGTTTAAGTGGGGTCCTCATGTTTGCCACCAAAAAGTCCTCAGTATTGTGAATAGAGCTGAGAGTTTGGTCCTAATAAGACATTATTTATAGGCAAAGGATTTCTTTATAGCTTTTCCAATGTTTTTCAAAGCTCTGCAAACTTTGTGGTAGTGTTGGGGACTGCACTCGGGGTTTAATGCATGGTAGGCAAGTATTCTGCCATTGAACTATATTTTCAGCCATGGTAACTTTGTATATTGAGATTATGAGGTAGACATTTCTGTGGTCTTGATCTTATAGGGAAGAACGCTAGGGCTCAGAGATGTGACACAGTTTGCTTAAGGTTAGGAAGTTATGAATTAGGAGAGCCGGTCACCAAATGCCTCTTTAATCCAAGGCACCACCAGTCCATCTCTGCTTGTGCACACACAGTTTCTGTAAAATAGGTCTAGGATAGCCACAGCAGCCTCAGGACAGGGCTATCCTGGAAGACAAAGAGTGAGTTCTACCCCAAGTTTTATTTATAGCAAGGACAAGAGAGGAGAACTCTCAACTTCTTTGCTTTCTTCTTTCCAATCCTGTTTCTCATCCCTGTAATCCATGTCAAGCTTGAAGTCTACACTATAATTCAGCCATATTCTAGGCAATTATAGTTGGAAGAGCTAACTTGCAAAGTAAATCACTATATAACTCTTTTATGAGACACAAAGTCAGTCACTGATTACTACACACCCTTTTACCACACAGGGCAACCTTCATTTAATTCCTTTTGTTTTTTAATGAACAAAATAAAATAGATATTTTCCTGTGTGCTCTGGGAACCTATGACATGTAGCTATAAGACTTTCATAAGGTACCTGAGACTAGCAGGTGTGGTCTACTGAGGGTGGGGTGGGCCATGCTGAATTTGTGCACCTCCCACCCTCTTTACATCTTCCAGCACTGTGATCAACTGGCCCAGAGAGAAATGTCCCTAGAGACTGCTCAGTCTTTAGGACCTAATGTTACCCAGTTCTTGGTTCACAGTGTCGGTATTTCTCTCTTTCCATCTTGTCCTACATACACAACCTTTTACACAACCAGGGAATCATCAGGTGAGAATAAGCATCTCCCCTCACTGGAAACATCTTCCTTGCCTCCCACCCTCTCCTTCACAGTGGTGGAGGAAACTTCATACCCTTCCATGAGTGTCTATATCCCATCTCTGTTCATCTGCAGGTCAGAATCATCACTCCTCCTCGGCCACTTTTATCATTGTACTAACCTGCTGTACTTTTCCCCATAGCCTAACCCCACTCCAATAGGCTAACACAAATTAAAGTTAGAAATAGTGTGCTTCATGTATCTTTAACCCTAGCACAGGGAGGGAGGAGACAGCTTGAGTTTGAGGCCAGTCTGATCTACATATCATGTTTAAGGCCAGTCAGGGCTACAGAGGCGTTTTCTCAAAATAGGTAACTAAATACATGTAAATGGATATGGTGAGTAAATTGAACAATATAATTTTCTTCCTTTCCTCTACATGGTAAATAGGTAGATAGCTCAGAATAGGTGACTACCTAGACCTTGGAAATCCATTTATTCTAATTTGTTTCATTGACATTCGACATTGTCAACACACATGGCTACTGGAGCCATGGAATTCATTAGAACATTACTGGAAAGAATGCTGGTCAAGGAAGGCATGTTGCTTTCCTTCAAAGCCAGTGTAGAGTATGCACATAGACCCTTCTACTTTTTTTGTTTGTTTGTTTTTGTTTTTCAAGACAGGGTTTCTCTGTGCCTTTGGAGGCTGTCTGGGAGCTATCTCTTGTAGCCCAGGCTGGTCTCGAACTCACAGAGATCCACCTGCCTCTGCCTCCCCAGTGCTGCTGCAATTAAGGCACCACCATTGCCTGACATTCTTCCACTTCTTATTGGCTGATCTGAATCACATGAGCATGCATAGTAGAAACATTTGCCTTTATTCTGGGAAGCCATGTAAATGGCCAGATAGAATCAGAGATTATGCTATGAAAGCCAAAGGAAGAGATACCTAACCATCTCCACCAAAGTCTCCAGTGTGCCAAGTCCTTAGATCACTCATGGTTCTCTGTTCCCTATTGGGTTATTTGTGTAACAGGTCTATTGCCATCTGGCTTCCATCCCACTATACCAGGAATAGTGCCCTCAGCATGTTAACCAATGCTTCATGCTGCTAATCTTACCTTACCTGAGCCCCAAGCAGCATCTAACACAGCTAACTCCTTTGGGGAAATAGGTTTCTCAGTCTTGGTCATAGGCATATAGCATCCTTTGTTCTCATCTGGCCTCCCAGCCTGTCTTTCACTGCTCTTTTCTTCTACCTCTGTCACTTCCTGCGTTCCCATTCTCTTCTGTATCTACCTCTCTTCCCTTTAGGCTCTCTTCTCAGCTCCTATGGTCCCAATGGTCCTCCAAATGCACCTTTACCCCAGACCTTTCTGTGCTCTTGGTAGCTAGACCATAGCCCTGGGTGTCTAACAGGCATCTTCGAGTCAGTATGGTTAAAACAAGATTGCTAATGATCCTCCTGAAAGCAATCAGGCACTCACTGGGAGAAACTGGAAAACTACCCCTTTCATTTCTACATTTCCTCCTCCTATATCCATCTTAGCAGTCTTAAATCTGAAACAATATCTCTCAACTATTCATCTTAACACATCCACCACTTTAGTTCAAACTATCCTCATACTTAGCTCAGATCAGGGCCAAGCATTGGGTCCCTGCTTTTCATTTTTGCCTGACAACTACTACATTTACTCTTCCCACAGCAACAAATCAGAATATTAGTCTTTCCCATAAACCCTTCACTGGTTTAACCAAAAGGATCCACCCTTTGACATAGCCCATAGGCCCTTTGTGTCCTGGTCTCTCCATCCCCAGAACTTTATACCCAGGCTTCCAATGATAGGTATCTGATTTTCTATCGGCTCCTTGACATCTCCAGTGTGTGGCCTTTTCAAGGCCTTGGCACCTACTGCTCTCAACCTGTACTTTCTGGGCTACTAGCCACTTTCCCCCAAAGCTAACTGAATTCTTTTGCTTTCAAGTTCAATATCACCTTCTCACCTTTCTCTGGCCATGCCCTTATTCTCTAACCCAGGCCTTCATCTTTGTCTCAGCATTGATTTCAACTTGAAATGATTTGTCTTTTCTACTCAAAGTGACTGTGTGGAGGGAGAGGTTTCAGCTGCAGTGTCCTCAGCATACACACAAGGCCTGGTGCTCTCACAGCAGACACCTAATCATACATTTTGGTCAGCTAGAGGTGACATTGTGGACAGGTTTTCTTGCCAGGGAGTTCCTTGAGCTGTCTGTCTGGGGTATTTTAGAGGCAGCTGCCCCCCCCCCCTTGGTAATAACTCCGAGCTGTGGAAAGGAGAATGTCTACATTTCTAGATTTTTCTCTTTACAATGAACTTTACCTGTTGGCTGGGTGTGTAGAAGCGTGGCTCCAGGCTCATGCTACTTTTGTTGCTCACGAGGAGCAGACTTGTTCCTCAGCTCTCCCAAACCCATTTGAGTTTACCAAGAAGGAACAAAGGTTGTGCTTTGCTCTACAGATAGGCAGGCAGCGGCTGCCACAAGGTCGCCCCTTTCATCACAGCGGTGTGGATACCGTCATACATCTACCTGCCTGTCTTTGTGGCCTTCCACTTCCAAGGATAAGCCCAGCCATCTCCTCAGCACAAAGGAGATGAACAAATCTCAGCAGGCTATCCAAAGGAAGCTTGATATTTTTAGCACCGAGAAGGCTCGGCTGTAAAGAAATCTCTACCACCTCTTTCTAGAGGACTACCCCCACCTCTGGCTTCCAAGGCAAGGCAGGAACGCCTTCCATCTTAAACCCAGCTGTTTTCCTAATCTTCTTCTACTTCTCAGTGACCCCGAGTATCCCTTGAGGCAACGCATCTTGCAACTCGCATTTCTCCCCGGCTCAGCTCCCATACAGTCAGGGGCTAAGGCCGGAGGGACGTTTGCACAGCATTAACTGGGCCATCTGCTCAACCAGCACCCCGGAGCCACAGAGGGCGGAGCCGGGTAAAACCCGCTTGGGGCACCGCCCAGAGCCGGACAAAGGGGCGGGCCAGCGGTCCGCTTCATTACCCAGGGCAGGCAGCTTTCAGGGCGGGGCTCGACGATCTGCGGGGCGGGGCACAGGCGGGGCGTGGAGAGGGCGGGGAGATCAATGTGGGAGGGTGTGGGGTGGGGACGGAGGGGGAGGGGTGAGCGGCGGGAGCGAGTGATGGGGCGGTGCCTGCAGGGGGGCGGAGCAAGCAGCGGAGGCGGGGCCTTGGTGGGCCAGACGCGTGGGGCGGCAGAGCGGCGTAGGGAAGCTGCGCCTCTTTTCTCCGCCGCGGCCCCGCCCCTCCGCGCCCCGCCCCCGCCGCTCGGACGGCCCGAGTCGCGCCCTCCCGCTCTGCGCTGCCGAACTTGGTCTAACTTCCTCGGCCGACCGGGCCGTGCCGCCGCCGCCGCCGCCGCTGCCGCGCCCGGGTAAGTAGGACGCGCGGCCCCGCTGCAGCGTCGGGCCTGTCCTCATTGTCTCGGGCCGGCCCTCGTGAGCGTCCTCTCGGGACGGCGGCTGCTCCCTGTGTTCCCGCTCGGCCCCGGGACTCCCTTCCCTGGCGGGGGGCGGCCCCGCGGGCGGCGCGGGCTTTGTCTGCTGAGACCGCCCGCGAGCTTTAGAGGCCGCGGCCAGGACTCGGCGGAGCCGAACTCGGGCGCTGTGTGCACTGCGAGGCAGGGCGGGCGTCCCGGAAGGTGTGGCTGCACCCTGCTGCCGCCTGGACTCTGCCGGTTCTCACCTGTGAGCCCAGCGGAGGGCGCCTTCTTCAGCTCCGGTCCCGAGTGAGGGGACGGTCGCCCAGCCCCCACCCACCCCGAGTGGGCTCCCAGCCTCCGGGTCCCACGCTGTCCTGCCCGGAGTTTGAGGAGGTGGTGACCCCGGCATCTCGGTGCCGGTCGCTAGAGGCTGTGTTTGGGAGCAGAGCTCGACTCCTGACCTAGCCGAGCTTTGGCCATGTTTTGGTTTTGGCTGTACCTTGGTTCGGCCCAGGTTGTAGCCCCCCCCCCCGTTCCCTTCCCTGTTACGTGTGCAGTGCAGAGGGTGGGGAGAGTGTGCGTATGGGGACTTCGGCCTCTGAAATCCAGAAACTGCTGTCTAGAGGACTGAAACTCGTTCTCCGGTGAGAGGCGGTCGGTGTTCTGAAAAAACTCAGAGTTCTCAGCCAGTGCTTGCCTGGACCTGGGTGCAGAGCCACGGTGAACACTTAATGGCTGTTATCAGGACGCTGGTGTTTGCGGACATCGAGATGTGTTGGGCAGTGTGTGCAGGACGTTGGATTGGAGCCTGGAGCAGGTGTGTTCCCAGCATTCTAGGAGGTTGCCCCTAGGAGTGGTGGTTGTGGGTCAGTTGCCTTCCAACTACTGGACAGTTTCCACACAGCCCTTTGACTTCGGAGTAGAAGTTGGTGCCTGCTGAGTGCTTCCTTATTTATAGAAGGAAATCTGGGGCCCCATATTCTAACAGCTCAGAGGTTGCAGGAGACATCTTCCTTTCAAAACTCCTGGGCCCAGGAACCCTTAGAATGAAGCCCAGACTTCTGCTCTCTGGCACCTTCCTCAGCCCTCCCCAAGCCCGTGTCCTACTCTGGGAATTTATTCTTTTTCTTTTTTGAGTCAGGGTCTTGTGTATGCCAGGTTTGCCTTGAATTCATAGTCCTTCTGTCTCGTTTTATACATTCTACATCTTGTCAAAAAAATTTTTTTTATTGGTCTCTTCTTTGAACCTAATGTGCTTCAGAGACTGGGGTATCCTGCGGACTCACACCTGTAACCCTTTCATGGTGGGCCTGCAGTGGGTGTTTATTGATATGAGCTTGGTCTAGGCTTAGCTTAGTTGCTTCAGCTTAGTTGCTTTATTCAAACAGTCTAAACCACTGGTCCTCCAGAGGTTTGCAACTGTTTCCAAGAAGAAAAGGCATGGAAGGGAAGGGTTGGCTGCCCTGTGAAGACCTTCCCCTCATCCTCTTACTAGGGTGACTGTGCTCCCTGGACTCCAAGGACAGGTGAGAGCTTCTTCCTTGCCATGTTTGTGATGGAAGATGAAACTCATGCTTTGTGTGGGTGGGGAGGAGCCTGCCCTGCAGGTTATAGAAATGAGACAAGAGTGCAGGGAAGCCCTGGGTTTTTAACCACTTCCGGGGCCTTACCCTGGGCCACCATGTGCCTAGGGATTTGACCTTGTTTAACTTTAGCAGGGAAGTTAAACAGAATTAATTTTTACAACACCTAAAAATGCCAGTATGCAAGTCCTGGGAGCCCTTTGCTTGTTTAAAACCTAGTGAACTTATGATCAGGCATACAGCTATTACATGGCTTAGTATTTATGGAGAACTATCATCCCAGCCTTATTAATTGTTTAATCCCTGAAACAACCCAATGTGGTAGATATTAACTGCCGACTTTACAAATGAGAAAAGTATGGCCCAGAAAGGTCAGAGTGATTCTGCCTGAGAATTGGAGCCTCTCTCATTTAGATGATGCCTTCCTCCTGGAGTAGCTTAAACATAGTGAGAAAGCCTGGCCCAAGGCAGAACTACCAAGGCCTTCAGTGTAGGTTCCCTAAGGCTCAGCTTCTAGGATCTCACCTACCTATCATGACCTCAGCTCACATCACCCCTGAATCCCTGCTGCTTTGACTCAGTAGCCTGCCCTAGCCAGAGGATTACAAGCATGGCTGGAGAGTCAATGCCTTCTGTAGAGATCGGGGTTTGATGTGGTTAATACCAGACTTCTAACTTGAGTGGTTTTAAGCAAGTCCTTTTTTTTTCTTCTCTGTTTTTTTTTTTTTTTTTTTTTTTTTGCTAACTCCACATTTACATCACATAATCCCATATCTGCTTTATGTTGCCATTATTGAAGACCACCAATTCATATCCCTAGCCACTTAGACATAGCCTGACTAATCTTGGCTCTTAAAGCTTCTGCCCATTTATGGCAGATGTGGCATTGTGACATGGCATTTCATTGAGCTGCACCGAGTAACATGGCCATAGTCACTCTCAGGGTGGGGGTGGGGGATAGAATCAGAAAGGTTTAATGAAAAGCATGAAGACCATCTCTTGCCTGTCACTTGTTTCTTCTCAAGCTCTGGGTCCTTGTTTCATCCTGTGTCTCTGTGCCACCAAGAATACTGTTGTGAGTTAGTCAAAAAAAAAAACGCCTTTTAAAGATGGAGTTGCCCAAAAGGTAGAAGTTTGATAAACAAGAACAAACCTTAGGGATAGAGAGGTGGTCTTCAAAAACAGACCTTTCCTCTGACCCTTAGGCAAGTTACTTGAAGTCCTCCTGTATCCTTTTGCTCATTGGCTGATTTGTACGTTTTTTTATTCAAAAGCAGGAAGTCCCAGCCCAGAGTCTTTGAATGGAGGTGACAATCCCTGTTTCCTGCTGCTGGGGTGTTAGTGCCTTTAGAGAGATAATCCTGCTTGTGGGCAGGAAAGCAGGCTTGCTTGGCGGCCAGTGGGTAGTTGGGCATGTTGTACTTCCCATCCTTGCCTGGATATGAACTTACTTTTCCTAGAAGCAGAGCAGGTAGAGGTGCCCTTAGTTGCCATGCTCTAATAATTTCCCTTGTGACTGGGGCCAAGCCTTCAGGATAGCAAGTGTGGAACAGAGCACTGGTTTGGTAGGGTGACTGGAGGGATGCTTCCATTGAAGAACAGGGTAGAAACCTATTAGATGCATTTCTCTAGTCACACTATTTTTTTTCCTTTATGTTCTGTCACCTGTGTTCACAACCACCAGCTGGTGGACATGAGTAGAGGTGAGGAGACTTAGGTTATTCTTTGTGAAGGTTAGTTCCCCATTCTTAGGCATGGGTACTACTTTTTCAGGGCCCTGTTTTCCCACCTATGGAATGAATGGCGGGAGCTGCCTGTAGCAGCTCCTCCTCTTAGCTGGTCACCAGTGCCCAGTATAGGCCATTCTTGATTGTTTTCAGAGTCTTTGACCTGGTAAATGGGCAGCGTTTTGATTTGCCCTCTTCTGTGTGTAGCAGTGCTGCCTCTGACTATGAGTCACTTTGGGTTTCATGGTCTCCTTGCCACTTTCTTCCATCCTTGTGTGTTTTGATTCAGACAGAACAAATGCTTGCATTGGTTCAGTTCAGGGTCTGGCTTGTGGGCAACAGTTGATGCATCTGCCCACTTAGCATGAAGATGCTTAGCACAGTTCAGCTTGCAGATGGACAATAAGGAGGCTTTTGATTGATGTTTTTTGATTGATGTCTAATTGCTAGCTATATAACCTAGACTGAAGTTCCTCATTTTCTCATTTGTGAAGGGAGCAGAATCAGATCTGCTCTGTCTGACTTTGTTGGTGAGAATCTAGTATATTCAGGTTTGAGAAACATGGTCTCAGGCCCCTGGGTTGGGCCTGATACTGTTTTGGGACAGCTGCTATCTTTCTGGCAGTTCCCAGCAAGCAACTTACTAACAGCTGATTCTGGGAACTCTGCTTCCTCCACCCTTGGGCATTGGGTGGGGCTGGGTGGGGCTGGGTGGGGCTGGGCAGGGCTGTGGGTTTTCTCTTTGTAAGTAGTAGGCCTGGTAATCAGAGTATAAGTGTGCTTGGAGAGGCTGGAGTTGGCATCCTTACTTCTTAGGATCTATTCTCCCTCTCTCTTTAAGCAGCCAGAGCCCACATCTGTCAGCTAGATAGCTAGCCCTCCTTGGACTCTCTTGTTTTGTCTACTATGTGGCTATTAGAATAGATGTTTAAAGTGGCTGCTGGCATCCTGGTAAGCTTATGGAGTTCTCAAGGCCCTCAAGTCCTCAGTCAGCTTGCAGAGCTGGGGTGGTGGGGAAGATTTGGGGAAGAGCCTGGTCAAAAGCTGATAAACCTGCTCTCTAGGTTTTCTCTGTGTGCCCCAGCTATTGGGTCTGTGATCTTGCTACAGAGCCCAAGAAACATCAAAAATAGGGGCTTTGAGGATGTCATAGCTTTGACATCCAACACAGGGTCTTCACAGCATGGAGAAGGGAACAAGTGTCCCCTGAAATAAATCTTGGTATGTATCTGAGGTTGGTGTGGTAGGGGAAAGGGTTCGGTATAATCAGAGAATCCTCAGCAGGGTCTCTTTTAAAGTATCAGGATAAGGAAAACAGCTGCCTTGGCTTTAGCTCCCCTAAACCTGCTGCACTGTTCAGGCTGTGGTGGGACTCTCAGTATCAGAACTGTACACTCCCAGTATTGGTGAGGTCCAGGCCACTTCTTTGCTTCCCAGATTGGCCCTCAATGCTCTTCTCCATGGCTTTTCTGTTTCTTGACCAGCATGTACTCCAGAGCCACGTGGACCCAGTCTTCTGAGGCTTGTAGGAGGTGGCCAACTCCAGTCCAAAGTGTGAGTGATACTCTAGGTGAGGGCAAGGAGCCCTGAGTCCTAGAAGACTGAGGAACTCTGTGCTTAAAGAAGAAAGATTATTCTGGTACTTGTTGAAGTGCTAAGGTAGACTATTCAAGACTGCTGCAGCAGGGTTTTTAAGTAGGAGAGAGACTAGGCTCAATTTCAAAACCCTAGGAAAGTGGGTTTTGAACTTAGAGCCAGGGAGTACTATGCCAGGATCCTAGAGAATTTTTGAGGGTAGGAGATGTTTTTTAGCTGAATGGACCTGACAGGACTCTTCCTGAAGGCAAGCCAAGCAGCCAGCTATTGTGCGGGGGTGGGGGTGGGGAATAAAGGATGAGGAGTTTGATAACAAGTTGGGAATAAATTGATTTAGCAGGATTCTTACTCGATTGGACCTCCACAAATCCAAGGTCAGAAAGAGCCAATTGAACAGAGGGCTCAGAGGACTAGGCTAAAGTTTGTGAAGGACTGAATCTGTTTAGTATCCTGTATTCAGTTCTGTGAGTTTTTACAGTGACCTAGGCTCATGACCACCCACG